TTCTTTTTATGTCTTTTTCCCTTTTGTAAATATTATTAAATGTTAACATATCAAAAATATGATACATGATTCGAAAACTTTATATAATGAATATGAAAATTTTGATGTGAGTATTGTTGAAATTTTAACAATTTCGAGATTTAAAAAAATATAAAAATTTAACATCTATTTACATTTCATCCAGTCCCACCACCCTCTACTAACAATATAATAACAGAATTTGTAAAAACTCACGTTAATTTTAAAAACGTTGCATGGGTATAAAATTATCATAGGAAGAAATTATAATAAAGTTTCAACTTAAAAACTGGAACTTTTAAGCCTCTAGCATTTGTAATTCAGTTTTCTTGTTATCCCAAGAAATTAAAAAAAAAAAAAACTCACATTCATAACTTAATAATGTGGTTCACTTCAAACTAAAAAAAAGGGGCACAATTAATTCCATAATCTAGATATTAAACGTATTATAAAAATACAAATTAAAATGAAAAAGAAAACCCAAACTAAACATTTTTAACATCCAACTCTTTATTTAAAACTATAAATTTTGTTAAAATATTTAATATAAACATTTTCCCTAAAATGAGTTTTTAAATTATTCTCCCCCTCTCGAATCGCAGATATTGTTAGTGTGGGGTGGTCGGGATGAAATGTGAATATTAAATTGCTATAGTTTGTTAAATCTTAAAATTGTTAAATTTTACTCTAGAACTATTAATATTCGCGTATTCACAGTCTCTTCCTTTGGTCATTTTTCCCGCCAAACGACAACGTTTAAAGGCGGAGCGATGAATGGCAAGGCAGCAGAGTGGTATGGTGTTGTGTCACTATTGAAAGTTAAGGGGTTTTTGGATATAATTGAAAATACTTGTTAAAAATATTTTGACCGAAGAACATGAGATGATTAAGTTTTTTCATTACAACTTTATAACTGTTAACCATATTCTCCAAATTCTCATTCACGCCTTCACATTTACTTTTTTCCCCGCTCAGTTCTCCCTCCAAACGACAAATTTTAAAGACAAATTTTAAATAAAACTTACTCTCTCCCTCATCAAATGTAAAGGCCACAGGTCCATTAAGGCGCGTAAATTAATAAACACTATTAGAAATAATCAGAATTTTTTTTATTTGACAAAATAGAAATAACTAGTGTCTGAAAAAGCAATTTCCCTCTAATTTGGGTATCGTTACTTCATATCCGAAGAAAAAAGAGAATTAGTATCGATCGAGTTTCGTTTAACAACATTTTTTAAGGAAAAAAATACCATTAAATTTTTATAAATTATACATTATCCCATGTTTGATGAAAAAAATTTAAATAACACACGTTCAAAAATACTTATAAGTTATTCTGGCCCTGCGAAAGGAAGGAGGACAGAAGAATTGTTGACTCGTGGCGGGCCATGTACGCCTTCAGATAAGTTCGCATCAACTATGCCAAAAGGCGCAACAAGACGAAGCTCGCGGGTCAAAAGCTGATCCAACGCAGGCCCACTGAAGTTCAATTGAGCGAGTCTTAAACTGAAATTAAGGGAGCGTTTAGATTAGTTAAAAAATACTTTTTCAAAACATTTTTTTATAACAAAAAACATTTTTAAAATCATAATTTTATTTCTACTTAGATACCGTAAATAGAAATCAATAACAACATGTGTTTTTTCCTATAGCAACTTGTTAAGTGACACGAAGATTCAGACCTCCTGTAAAAGAGAGTGCTCTTTTACAAAGAGTATCAGCCCATTAGGAGTCGTTTGCTACGAATAAAATAGAGGGAAGAGGAGAAAATATTTTAATAAACTTGATTTAAAAACTTTTTTAAAAAAATGGGATTAAAATTTTTAAATAATTCTCATCAACAGTTTTTTTTCCCTTTCATTTTCCTAATACCAAACAGTGGCTTACGCAACCTGATCAGAATTAGGGCCCTGGAGTGAAAGTACAGGCCCTAGTTTTCTGCTCGATTCCATGGGCCTAGAGGCGTCGGGCGACGTCGAGAAGGAAGTATTGGTTCTGGTGAGGGGGGAGGCGATGTCGCGGAGGCGAGGACGAGAAAAGAGAGTGTGATGCTAAGTTCTAACACGGTTTGTGTGCCGCTGTTTTTTTTCTTTTTCAGCTGAAGTGTGCTGCCGTTGCCATAGGGTGAAATTGCTGAAACATGCAGCTTGCTTTAAAATCGTACATGTAACTGTGCTGCATGCGCTTTAGCTCAAAATTTTATAATCCTATTTATGTATTCTTTTTCTAATTAAACTTACTAAATCTTCAATACTTCCTTTCCAATCCAACCAAACCGGGGGAGCATTTGCCAAAGTCCCCTGCCCCCAAGGAAAAGGAAAACTTAAATCGAGAGTTTATGCAAAGAGAAAAGAGCATCGATTCAGCGGATGCAATATTTGTCGGCAAAAGAAATAGGAAGAAATCCAATATAAGAACAAATTGGGGTCATAATTGGGTGTAAGCCAATAACATTGGAGCACATCTCCATAGATGAAGAAGAAGGCTCAAGCAGAATGGATCTTTACTTACTTTACGCACAGATAAAATCCTGGGAATCATTCGTCTTAGACAAGCTTCCCAAGAAGAACTGTGTGCGATCTTCGGTTTCGAAACTGAAAGCAAACAGAGTCACGAGATCAGAATTGCTTCAAATAAAGAAGAGGACTATCTGCGAGAGGCGGATAAGAAGAAAAGAAGCCGCCATGGCCTCCACCCTCCACGAGCCGCCATGGCAACCCTAATTGCAAATCCCCCTTATATAGAACAACTTCATTTTCTAAATGACAATACCGCCCTTAACGTATTTTACGTGCCCTGGGCGGGCCATAGCATTTACCAGCGACCTCTGCTAGGGAGGAAACTGGTTTATAACTTACAGGAAAGTTTCGGATTAAAAAATAAAAATTACACCAAAACAAATCAGATATATATAAAAGTTTGCATAAATTTTGAAGGGAAAAATTGTAATCAATGACAAAAATCAGATATCCTTCTCCAATTCCCCCATTCCTTTTCAACATTGAAGATAATATTGTAGTCAATGATAAAAATCAAAATGAATAAATTATAATATCTATAAATTAACCGGCGTTGTAAATCTTTTTCCTATGACGACTATTTATGAGCTAGAGGAAGTGTGAGGCTTGCATTTGACTTTATTCATCTTTCACCTTCGTCATCTTTCTTGAATTTAAAAATTTTTTAACCGGGATTGCTCAATATATTCTCTAATTAAAAGTTGGAAAAATAAAATTATCTAATTAACAATTTTATTATAGGAAAAATCCTAATTAAATCCTGTTGAAATACTTAAATTTAAATTGAGGCCTACACTTTTAACAAATTCTTAATCAGGACATAAGACCTAATTAGGAATTGCTGAATATTGTTAAATAACTATAATGCCCCTCTTTAGTTAAAAATAAAAATTGATTATTTTATCCCTCTAAAGTGGTTCATCATCTCTTATTATTAATATTTAGACAAAAAAATATAAATAATTTTTTAGTGTTTGAAATTTTGTAATATAACTAAAATCTTCAAAATATTTCAAATTATAATATAAGTAATCTTTAAATAAATATTTTTTTCAGGTTGTAAATATTTATTTTAAAATTTTAAAATATTTTTAATTATAATAAAAATTTAATATTAAATCGTAATCATTTACGTTTTCAGTTGGATCCAACATTGTTTAAATAAATAAAACTAATGTAAATTATAAAAACTGAAAATAAAAAAATTTATTTAAATTTACTTATATTTATAATTTTACTTATATTTGAAATTTAACATGTTTTATTAAAATATTTTTAATAGTGTAAGTTATATATACAAATTTCAAACATTGTAAAATTACTTATATGTTTTTTGGTCTAAAAAAAATCATAAGAGATGAGGGGAGAGGTATATTAATCAATTTTTTTTAATTGAAGAAGGGCATTCTGGTTATTTAACAACATTTAGAAATCCCTAATTAGGTCTCATGGCCTAATTAAGAATTTGTTAAAAGTGCAGGCCTAAATCTGAATTTAGGTATTTCGGCTGGATTTAATTGGGATTCTCCCTTTATTATATTCATTTCGTGCATTGCATGATAAAAAATTCCATTGAAATTTAAATTAATATTAATATTTAATTAACACCCAAAAAAGCCTTTAATAGGTGGCCATTTTGTATGAAATAATGTTGGATTATGTATAAATATTCTAAAAATAGCGTTTATTAATCATCCATAATCAATTATATGTTATTCTTTTAAAAATAATGAAAGGCTAAGATTTTACGTCCTATCTATTTAGATCAAAGTACAAGATATAAAAAATGATATCAATAAAATAAAAAAAAATGCGTTTGATACCCTTCTTGAAATAGAATCTCACAAATTGGAAAAAAAATTATTTATTTATATATCAATTATTAATTTCACACATGGGGGTACGAATATTAATTATTTATATACCACCTTCGGTCTTTAATATAAAACCCTGTTTGACTTTTATTTTAATCCTAAATATAAGACCCCAATCCACTTTATCTCTCATATTTACTCAATTTTTTTCAAGATAGTCCTTTTAATAATTATAGTTCTAATCAATACACTTGATTAGCAAAATATTTTAGAAAGACAACACCTACTTAAAACAAATAATTAACTCAACTTATTTTTTTAATCTCCTCAAATCAGTAAACTGCCTCTTATAATTAGGACCGCAAGTAGTATTTAAGTTCCAAAACATAAATATGTAATGAAGCAACGAGCCCAAGAAATACCCTCTAAAATAAGATTCTCAATCGGCTGCACATATGAGGTTAAAAAAAATTCTATTACCGCAGTGCCTATGCTGCAGTTAAGTCATCCATGGGCTAATAGCTTCTAGTGCCCCTGTTAAAGCTTAGCTTAATATCAGATTCCCGTTAAAATTAAAAAAAAAAAAAAACTCTTAATCTATATTCACCACGAGTGAACAGGCCTATCTGAAGACAGCTTGAGAGGAACATCCCGGTCCAAACAAGAACTTATCGACAATCTAAAGGACCACAAACATTCTTCACAAATCGAAAATCGGTCTTTCAATCAAAACCACAACTTAATACAACACAGGAACCAAGCTTGTCATTTTCCACTTTTCCTTTAGCCCGAGCCACTTAGACCAGCCATCGAAGTTAAAAAAGCGACGAAAAATTACAATGTCATACCAAGGTAATTTTTGTTTTGTAATTGAAAACTAAAAGAATTTACGCACCCAAGTAAACTTGGTTCCTCACTGGCTTTATCCAACCCCAAACAAAATCCTCAGCTCTCGATGCTAATCAAAACTAGCATTTAAGAAATTGAGCAGTTCATTTCTCTTGCTTTCCGCCAACTTATCTTCCTTTGTTTTTTCAAGCTTCAGAAGAATCTGTGAAGACAAAAACGATACCAGATGAATGAATTCATCCAAAAGACACAAACTAAACAAGGTCATTGAAGAAAATTGTAACAAGCCAACAGCCTTAACCTTCTTGCCAGATACGGCACTGCGCCGGACCCCATCATCTTTATCGCGCCCCAGAAACTGTATAACATAAGAAGAGTTAGTCAACCTATCAATGACATACTTGCAAGAGAAATGAACTCCTGAATCGGATTGCAACTAGAACCTTGGAAAGCTGCACAGGACTGCTGCATCTCTCATCTTGCTGCTTCTATATAAGGCTCCCATGCCATGACAAACCCGACCAAGAAACAATATCCAATCAAGTCAATTAAGCGCCCAACAACATGTCACAGAGCCCAGCTCCAATTTCAAAAGAGCCAATCCAGGAAAAAGGCAGAAAGTATCATTAGCATCTCAGACAGAAATATACTTACAATGCACACATTTAATTTTTCGTTTTCGCCAGCAATGTGTGCATTTAATGAATTAACATTATTATGACACGAAGTTTGTGGCGCTACTCTATTTTCTGCTAAACCTAAATTAGATAGTGATTGCTCGGAAATAATGTATCAAAGAAAAACCAAATGCTAAGAAAATGGAGTCAGACTAACACAAATGATACGCTAGGCCAGTTTGTGATAAGAAAATTTAGAGGCTAAATTAAAATAAGCATCAGTCATTAACCAACTGAAATAATCTCTTAATTTTAGTTAAGGATTCCTATGCAATCCTCAAGTAATGGCTACCGTGCAGGTTGAATTCCACAGTGTCGGTAAAAACACTAGGGGTAAAATAAGTGAAGTCGCCAACATAGTAAGTATCTTGTCAATTTGACTGAAACAAAAGGCAGTAAACAGGCCTAAGGATGAAAATGAAAGACACCATACTATGTAGTAAACAAGCTTAAATATGAAAATAAAACAATGTGTAGAAAGTCACCTACCTCTTTCACTCTATGCTTCTTCCGTTTATGCCTACGGCTTTTACTGCGATCTTTTTCCTTATTCTACAAGGGAAAAACAATGAAATTTATGAATAACAAAAATTTAGACCAGGATTCTTTTTCTTTTTCTTTTTCTTTTTTCTTTTTTAAACCACGTTAACAACAAATCACCTTCTTTGGTCTGTCCTCCCTTCTGTGCCTTTTTGAATGATAAGACGAATCATGCTCGCTGTCAGACGAACTCTCACTTCCATAGAAAATTAAAAATAAGGCAAAAAGCGGCACAAACCAAGTTATTGAAGTGATTCTTTTAATATGAAAATTGAAAATTATAGCCAGAAATTCTGAATATGAATGACGTAAACCTGCATACAATCACACCGTCATGTATTCACCCAAGCAAAATTGTTTCAGAATCCACATGCGATGCATAATCAATAGGACATTAGGGAGAGATAGCAGTTTAAGGCACATATCAAACGCCCATTTGTTGCTCTAACATTCAATAGAAACCCCATCTAAAGGGAAGCAGTGACCAGATGATCAGAGACAACGAAAACGCCCAAATAATAATAGGCATGCCTCAAAATGCCACCCAACCACCACCCTATGTAGCAGCCTTATAACTTATAAGTTATACATTTTCAAGAAACATTATTTCCAATAGCTTAGTCCCATCCCATAAATTCCCTGTAGCAGGCATTGAAACCATAACTAAATTGAGAAACTGAGAATTAAACATAGTTGAAACATTATAAGTTAAATCAAAATCAAAACCAGTTACTCCTAAGATTGGTACTCGAACAAATTAACCCTCCAACTGGGCGTGTTTCGTAAAGAAAGCCGAAATTCGTTTATCAATGATCATGTATTTCACTACTCAAAACAGATAGCAGTTCCACTCAGTAGTTATTTTCCAAAATATAAATCCAAGCAATTTTATTACAGCCAATATTTTGAATCTTGAAAAGTCAATCGGATGTTTCAAGATGTCCCCGCACCTGGCCACACTAATACAGTGGAAATTCTAATAGCAACCATAAGTTCAGCCACACATTTCATTTATGAATAAGCTCTGTCGCTAGAACAGGATAATCAATCAGCTCTAAAGCTCAGGCTAAAATTTTACAAAGATCAATTAGGGAGAGCGGGAAAAGTGAAGCGGCCACAATTAAAACCCTAACCTGGAGTCGTCGGACATGGAAGATGAAGAATATGAATCAGAAGAGCGGTGGTGCCTGCGACGTCGCTTGGAGTGGGATTTACTCTTCTTTCGGACCTTTAGGGATTCTTTATCCCGGTCCCGGCGACTGCGTTGACGGCGCCTACGGCGGTGAGAAGAGGAATCGCTAGAGGTGGAGGAAGACAAAGAAGACAAGGACGTCGACGAGGCGGCCATAAGGAAGGGAACGAGAGAACGGGGATTGGTAAGATTGGGGGAGACACGCACAGGGAGGGTTACTCACTGACCAGCAAAACAATTTAGGTCAAAAAGATTAACAGGCTGTTTCCTTTTTCATTATCATCGCGAAAGGATTATGGTCCTTTTTTTTTTTTTTTGTAATTAAAAGAACAACTTGACTAGAAAAGAAACTACATAACGTATTTTTGACGCACACGTTTGGTTAGTCTTGCTTCTTTACATTTTAAAATATAATTTAGATGTTAGATAAATAATTGTAATTTTTAATTTTTTATAATAAAGAGTTAACACTTAACATATTTGACCCTTAAGTTTGTACGAACTTTAATTTTAATCCATTAAATTTTAAATTAGAGGTTTGATTTTATAAAAGATAAAACAATTAGGGTTATTATTAAATTATAAGAATCATTGTTTTAGGCGGAAAAAAACTTAAATAACCAAAATCAAAATGTGAGAACAAATTTAACAGACCATAAGATATATTAACCTATAAAATAAAAATTGTGTATCATTAAAACAACAAATTCAAACAACAGCATAAAGAATCTAATAACTCCCATCGTCAGCTTCCGCTTTTTAAAGAAGAAGGTTGATCGATGATCCAAAATAAACTATTGCCTCCGGTCCTAATAATAAGAGCTAGTTGACTAATTTGAGGAAATTAAGGAAGTAAGTTGAGTTAGTTATTTGTCCTAAATAGTGTTGTTTTTCCTAAAATGTCCTTGCTAATCAAGTGTATTGATTAGAACTATCATTGTTGGAAAGACTACTTTGGGGGAAAATGTATTAATATGAGAGACAAAGTGGATTGGGGTCTTATATTTAGACCAAAATAAAATTAAACAGGGCCTTTATATTAAGTATCGGAGGGAGGTAGTACTATTTAGATGATAAGTTAGCTAAATAATCAGCAACGAAGTTCTCATCTCTGTACATATACATACGAGGAAAGGTAACTAAGTGTTTAACTAAGTGTTTAGTTTAGTTATATGTGTATATTTTGCCAGCGCACACACACAAATATATATTAAATTACTGCATTTTGGACATGTTACATTAGAAAAACCTAGTTTTAGATAACGCATGTGATGTGTGAAACCAGTGGACAAAATTGGAATTAATATAGGTAAAATAATATCATATAATTTTCACTGTTTCGGTAGATTAATTATGGAAGCCTGGAATTATTTTTACCATCTAGTTTCGATGACTTCCTTCCCCCACAGATAAATCTACTTTGTTTTTCCTGTGTTCCGTTACTTGTAAAATCGACCGCGATGAAGCAGAAGAAGAGGATGAAATTGCGCAAGGCCAAACAGCATCAGCACCTTTTCTTAAATTCTTATATCTGCTCGCATGTTCGCACGAAAACATTATCTTCTTTTTCTTTAAAAAAAAAAAAACTTAGGCTGCAAATAATTGCGTGATGTGGCTACCTCGACTGGTAAGAAACCAAATTTACTTCCCAGTTCCCATGTAGATGATAGAAACTGAAATTAATTTTAAAATTTATAAAATGTGAAGACAAATTCTGAAATGTTCAACAAAAGCTATTAGGGATAATTCTTTTAATTAATATAACGATAAAGTAAAAAAATAAAAAATAACAAGAAAAACACGAAGATGCGAGAATGGCAAGAGAGAATATAATGATAATAGGCCGAGTATATTGTCCACAATGAAAAGGGAAATCGCCAACTTAAAGGGGATTTCAATGAGAAATGTGTGTGGATGTACAAGTCCCACGTTATAATTACAAGAACAGCCAATCAACAACCTGCTGCCCCTCTAATTAAGTACACAAACACCCTCCCAAAGAAGCAGCCTTCATATTTGATAACGACATTGACAATGATTTCAATATGACAACAGTAATTGAAATTAGTGTTTGGAGTTCCAAGAAGAAGGGTTGTAAGGAATGCGAGTAATCTTAATCCACTTGTCCCCCTTGAAGAAGTTGAGAGGCGTATAAGTGTTTGCTTGTTGGGGTGTGATGTTCTTGATGCCGCCCCATTTCGCACGCTTGGATTTATCAGAACCTGGGCCGTCATTGCTGTGCTCTGCATAATAGCACGTGTCCAGCCCCAGCGTGCCTGCCCACGGCAAAAACCCTTCAGGTTGGATCAAGTCATCCATGAAGGTGTCCATGAATATGGTTCTGGAGTATATCTTCCATGGACGAGCCAAGTAAACCTTGTTCTTGAACCTATCTGGGTAGAAGTTAGGATCTGCCACGATGGACCCTCCTTGGATCACTATTCCCGTTGGCTGGTGCCTCTCCTTCCTGCCCTGTGCCGTCACGATACATTGTTGTTCCTCCAATGGCTTCCGCACTATAAATGTACAGTTCTGGAACACCGACATTGCATCACCAAAAACGAAGTCCACCGTACCTGAAATGGTGCAGTCCCTATAGAATTGACGCATCGCGTGTGCGTAAAGTGTGTCCTGGTACCCATCCATGGCGCATCTGTAGAACACTGCCATGTCACCTTGCACTCTTAGGGCAACGGCTTGATGCTTCTCGGGACCAGCTGAGTTCTCAAACCCCATCTTTATGGCCACAAAGAAATCTCCGTCGACGGCTGCATGCGTGCATGCACGCGTTAGCAATAATTACGTTTTCTTGTTGAATTCTAGATTCTAAACTAAGAGGCGACTTTAAAATTAGATGAAATAATATAATTATCATTGTTGTTCGTACCAACGGTGGCGGTTCTGAAGGTGCCAATGCCGTCAACGAAGTTTCTGTTGCCGGTAACTCGGGTCTTGTCGCCTCCATCACCGATCATGACCACGCGGGTCAGATTCTTCATAACGTGAACATACTCATGGTAGACTCCTTCCTTAACGTAGATGACGAATGGCTTGGCATTATTTTCGGGGACCATTTTCAAGGCTTCGTTAATGCTCCTGACCTTTCCAGTGCCGTCCTTGGCTACAACAACATGGGGCTTGAGCTTGCCGGTAGCAAGAAATCTTCTCATGCCGACCTCAGCCCAAAGGGGAATGTCCAGGTCTCCATGACCCAAAACAGGACGATCGGATTCAAAATCCTCAAGGAGTCGACGTGAGGTTGAGCTTTTTATGTTCAGCTGAGCGAGACTGTTGGCGAAGTCATTGATGATGGCGAGAATATTGCTGCTGTGTATCATGGTAAGTTTCAGAACATCTTGCATCTGTTTACCAGCCGGGCTGGTGGTGTTCTGAAATCCGTCCAAACAAGTCTGTTGGTAGGTGATGGCGCCGCTGATCCAAACCTTGAGGTTCATGAGCATGTCGTCGACGCCGGCGAGATCAAATGAACCCATGTTTTGGACGGACTTTCTGAACTCGTCGATAGAGAGGGCCATGAGGTGCATGCAGGAATCAAGGGCCATCTTGGATCTGGGTTCTATCTCAATCTCATGGATGAGACGGGTTTTCTGGAGACTCTCGCCGACGGAGCGAATGGTGACGTTGAAGACGATCTTGATGAGTTGTTTAGGGTCGCTGCTGTTGCCGGCCTCGGACTTGAGACTGTCCTCGCACTCTTTTTTGTAATCGGTGGGATGACACAGGTCCGTCACGGCTTTCATTGAATCCGAGACATGGGACTTGTTGTTATCTTTTGGTTGGCTTGATTCAGAATCGCTTTGGTTCATGCTGACACCTACGGTGACGGCCACCGCCATGGCCACCAACAAGAAACTAGACACGCCGATGATGGCGAGTCTCCTTATTCTCTGTGCAGCTTGTCGATCTGCCATTTTGAATCAAGCAGCAGCAGCTCCCTTACCACCTTCAATTTATTTTAAAAACAGATCAGAATAATTTATTAAAATAACTAAACATGTGAATATGTTAAAGCTTCTATATGCATGCATGGAAGAGAATTGGATGATACGAGGAAAAATGGAGCCGCAGCTGAGGGAAAAAAAACAGCCCGGTGTGGCGGTAGGAACCCCCTGTGAAATCCCTCCAAAGCCTGCGTTTTGTGGCCATGGAAATGATATTTATATATTTCGCAAAAGTTTGTTAGGTTAGTTCCAAAAATGTGAGGCTTGGAAATGAAAGGAAAAGTCAAAAGGCAGTCTAGATATATACGGACTGGCTTGTTTCTTTGTCTTACACATAAAAATATACAAACACGGAAACCACACACATTTTGTTTTGGCTGGGGATGCGAAGGGGACGTACGCCTTGTTTCACGCCTATGAGGCTTTGGCCCTTTGCTTATATACATACATATATATACATGTATATATATTCACCTCAGCTCCCTAAAACCCTTTCTTACGCGTAGTTCCTGCCTTGTAGATTCTAGCAACTTTATTAATTACTCACGACAATTCCATTGGTTACACACTGTATTTTTAATTTGCATGAAAAATCTTACTCCTCTGGAATAAGTTTTAGGTTTTGATGGATTCTTAAATTAAATTGCGTCCTTAGTGTTTAAATAATTAAGTGCTCAAGCCATAATCCCCTGATCATTCAACCCAACCTTTCGGATCAATCAAGCCGTCCATGAAGGATTGCAAGTAACCTGTCCTTGAAATTGAATACCCCAGTGTTTTGGTTAGGATCAATTCGTCCTTGTGCTGTGAGTCGTTGAATTGGAGTTGGAGCCATAAATGTCACAGATCTTGTAAAATTGCCCGAGGGAATGCGTGTATGGTGTGTCTTGGTACCCTTCAGAGAGAGGTATTGGCAGCTAGCCACGAACGAAAAGGGCCAGAGATATGCTATAAAGCTTTGTCCCATCAGAGAGAGGGCTTAATAACCCTCTGTTGGCGGCGGGATAAGGAGTTCGCTGGCTCATGAGCTTGAGAGGAAGTCAGTGTGTTTTGGAGGGTTTCGATTTGTATGGGACAAAAATCCACTGTTCGATTCAGCTAAATTCTAACAATCGTGAAGGGCACCTGGTGTGGAAAGTAGAAATATTATCTCCGGTCCTAAATATAAGAGCTAGTTGACCAATCTGAGTAGATTAAAAAAACATGTTAAGTTAGTTATTTGTAATAAATATGTGTTGTCTTTCCGAAAATATCCTTGCTAATCAAGTTTAATGGTTAGAA